TGGAGCTCTGCAGTCTTCTGGGTCCTTAAAGACTGTAGTTTAAGTTACCATAATGGGGATCTACAGTAAATACTATGGTTTCCTTGTTATAGCAATTTAGATTAGATCCCTTAACAAGAGCCCTGTCTTTGTAGGGATTTTTTTGCGGAGCCCTAAACCCTAAACCCTAAGTCTCTGTGGGGATTTTTTTTGTGGAAACTGCAGAATGGCTGAGTCCTTGTTGTGGACGGCTTCGAAGGTCTCGGTCCCGTCCTGTCCCAAAAAACAGGTTGATGGAAAGGCTGTTTCGGGTTTAGGGTTCGGGGTGTAGGGTTTAGGGTTTAGGGTTTCGGGTTTCGGGTTTAGGGTGTCGGGTTTAGGGTTTCGGGCTTAGGCTTTAGAGCTTCGGGTTTAGAGTTTCGGGTTTAGGGTTTAGGGTTCAGCCGCAAAACCTGAAACACCTTGAAACACCCCTGTACCGGCTGATGGAAGCCTTACAAAGCCCTTCTGAAAGCTTCGAGTTTAGCAATGTTTCAAAACCCTACACCTCACAGTCTGGCACTATCGGATTCCATGGCAAGGTGTCGGTCTTCCCGTGATGGGCTCGGAGTTTGTACGGTTTCGGGCCCTGTCACCCTGGGGGTGTCGGGTTCTTTGCTTGAGGCCAAGGATTCACAGACAAAGCTTTCAGGCAGAAAGTTCCGGTTTAGTGATTTGGCTTCTGGGCCTGGGATCCGGTGCCTTGGTAGGGTCTGTGCAGCCTGTGCTTCGATCACTGCACTTCGAGGAGACCCGCGTTACCCGCAACCGGCTGTTCGAAGAAGACAAGACGCCCCTTCATGAAGGACTCTTACTTTGGGATCCTTGGTGAGAGACCCTAGGTGTAAGTACACGATGGTGTAACATTCATGAAGTGCTGGGTTGTCTCATTGAGGCTTCCTGCGCCGAAGTGGCGCAGTGATTTGTCTTTGGGTGCCGAGCTTAGTTAAAGGGCTGGTTTTCTGCCATATCACAACTGCTTTTGAAAATAGCGGTTTCGGTGTGAAGTAGTGCTTTCATCATTAGTTTCCCCACAATAAGACACAAAAACTTACACCCGCCAACAATATGCCGAAGAAGCCCTGGAAAAACCTCACAGTATTCACGCAAACAAAATCCGAACATAAACCCTGCTTCTTGCAAAGCTTCTCGTGAAGGCCTTACAAATGCCCCTGCACTTTGTGCTTGATCCTCGAAGGAAGCCCTGAACCCTAAACCCCCTAAACCCTAAACCCTGAGCCCTAAACCCCAGACAGGAACTCGTTGGAGCGCTAAAGCCGCTGGTCCTGTCCGCCGACATCGAAGATGGCTTGTGAGCCGCCTGCTTCCGCATTCTGTGGTTTAGGGCCTCTGGGCCTTTGCAGGTTCTGGCTTCAGGGTTTAGGGCTTAACCATAGGCCCCTAAGTAGTTCCTTCTTATGGTTTATATTTAGAATCCTATAAGGTAACCCCAAAAAGGAACTACTTAGGGGCCTATGGGTAAGGTGCTCGCCCTTTGCAAAAGAGAGCCCCTTGGGGTTGAGCTGGTAGGGAGTTTTCAAACTGGGGCTAATTCATGGTTGAGCTTCAGCTTTAGACTTCGGCTGTGCACGTGAACCCCAAGCCCAAACGGTAGAAGCCTTGAAGTGCGACACCTGGAGCCTTCATCCCAAAACCTGACATCCTAAACCGAGAATGCAAGCAGATCGCCCGAAACCCAGGACCCTGAACCGCGAACCCTAAGCCCCATGAGCCCTGGGCCCTGGACCTCAACTCTCAGCTCCTTAAGCCTTTACCCCTCAGTGCGGCTAAACCTTGAACTTCGGTAGGTTTCTTGTTTTGAGGACCTTGTTCCCGGCAGTGTCCAAGAGAGCCCGTTTGGGCTTCAGTAGGGTTTCGGGTTTAGGCTTTAGGGCTTCACAGAAGACCGACCCTAGCTAGAATTGCTTTTCCTATGAAGAAGAAGCAGGAGAAGCCTGGTAAGGGCAGCATTCACCATGGTAAACACCATGTTTGTAGCAGTGACCCATAGATAACGCAAAAAGACAGGAGGGCAATCGGAATCACAAAGGACATGTATCATCACCCCATTTCTCGTTATTGATTACCTGTGCTGAATCATGTTCCAGTCCTCGAAACTCGAAACCCGCGATAAAGCCTAAGCCGATGTGGGGTTGACGTGGAGCTAGGTTTAGGGTTTAGGGTTTAGGTTTTAGTGTTTCGGGTTTAGGGCTTAGGTTTTAGGGTGTAGGGTTTAGGGTTTGGGGCATGTTCCGAAACGGAACTTACTAGCTTGACGATGTGGGCTGAAATCAGGGTGTGTAGGGGCAGCTTCATGTGCCAGTGCGCAAAAGCGCCCCCTGCTACATTGGACCATGTAGGCCAAAATGCTCTGTGCTTGCCTATTCAATACCTGTGCATTTCAGTCGCGGCTGAAATCCATTCAACGAGGTGCGGGACACCAAAGGGCAAGGATAAGTCAACGGAGAACCTCCTAATACTCTTCATAAGACACTGTATAGAGAAGCGCCTATCAAGCACTATATAAACCCCTAAAAGGCCCTGAACCACAACACCCAAAACCCTAAACCCTAAAACCGCCGACCCTCATACCCTATGAAGCCGTAACTTAAGTAGCTGGATCCCGGGGCTTGTTGATTCGACTCATCGGGTCGGGGTGGTCGCGCCTGGATGTTCCCAGACATACCTTGGATCAGGCTTTAGGGACTGTAGGGTTTGGGCTTTAGGGTTTAGGTTTAGGGTTTGGAGTTTAGAGTTTAGGCTTTAGGGTTTAGGTTTAGCGCTTGGAGTTCAGAGTTTAGGGTTTAGGGCTTTAGGTATTAAGTTGTGAAGGGGCACAGGGTTTCGGCTTTAGGCCTCAGGGTTTCGCTATCGGTTTCAGGGTTTAGGGCTTAAGGGTTGGGGTTTAGGGTTTTGGGGGATTTCTTGGAAGAGCTACGGGCCAGGGTTTCAGAAGCACGGCGACAAGAGCGGGAGAGCAAGGGCGATATGATAGTGGTAGTGGTTGTAGTAGTAGTAGTAGTAGTAGCAGCAGCAGCAGCAGTAGTAGTAGTAGTAGTCGTCGTCGTCGTCGTTGTCGTCGTCGTAGTAGCAGCAGTAGCCGCAGTAGCAGTAGCAGTAGGAGTAGGAGTAGTAGGAGTAGGAGTAGTAGTCGTCGTCGTAGTCGTCGTCGTCGTCACGTGGTATTAGTAGAAATAGCAAGAATATGAACAGTACTAATAATAGCCATTTTCTGTTTTCGACTAATTTTGGCAACATTGACGATAATAAGATAATACTGTGTAGTGCAGATGCAACAATGCTAACTACAACTATTTGACTGTGTGAAGGTTATCATAGCAGTACAGGTAGCAAGAAAAGTATGAAGACAGCGAAGGCTGGCTTAGGGCTTCACTCTTCCAGAGCTGTTCGACGACACATCTTTAGGGGTAGCTGAACGCAGACAGCTGCGCGAACTATGCGAAACAAGTGCTTCTAAAACTGACTGCCTCATGCAAGGGTCCTTGCAATACGCATCCTTCTCGTCGGGGCTTTTACCTTCGGAAACTCCGGGGTCCCTTCGAACAGGAGTCAGCAAGAACTAAAATCAGAAGGCTTCCTGCACCACTTCTTGCTTGAGAATTGAAACCAAAACATCTAGAACCCTTATGGAAACCGAGTAGAACCCTGTTCAAACTCTTTTGAACTCTTATAGAAATCTTATAGTACCTAAAGATCCCCTAACCCTGGCAACCCTTTTAAACCCCAAAGCCCCAAAGCCCTAAACCCTCCACCCTAAACCCTAAATCCTAAAGCTCCCATAACCCTGGCAACCCTTTTAAACCCCAAAACCCTCAAGCCCTAAACCTTCCACCCTACACCCTAAATCCTAAAGCTCCCATAACCCTGGCAACTCTAAACCCCAAAACCCTAAAGCCCTAAACCTTCCACCCTACACCCTAAATCCTAAAGCTCCCAAAACACCTCCAGGGCCAAGAAGCTCGGTGAGGTCGTAGATCTTCCCATACAAAGACACCCAGACATCGCCTTCGGCGCGGTGCTGCGCCAGCTCCTGCAGGTCTTAGGGCTTAGGGCTTGGGGGTTTTAGGGTTTCGGGTTTAGGGTTTAGGGGTGTAGGGCTTAGGGCAAGTAGGGTCTCATTACCAGCATTCCCCTGGTCAAGCCCAGCATATACACTCACCCATATTCCCCCTCCGGAGCCCTAAATACAATCACCGAAAACCTTAATTTATGCCGTACACCACGCAGTAAACCCTGAACCCAGGTGGAATCCATCGTAACACTTGTAGGACCTTGTAACAAAAAGCACGAAGTCGTGAGAAACCCCCTGACAATTCCTAACCTCGACCCCAAAGAAACCGCTTAAACCCTAAAACCCTAAGCCTAAACCCTAGACCCTAAAACCCAAACCCTAAACCTTTGACCCTAGAAAACCAAGGCAAGTACGCAGCGGTCGGGCAAACGGTACCTTTCAAAGGTATCATCCGTCTAAGAGCGCGGGCGTATCCTTTTTTAGAGTTCCTTACAGGGTACACTGTTTAGGGTTCCTTCAAGGGATATACAAGGGGTTTCTATATACGGGTAGTTCTCTAAATTGGGGTCCCTGTTGAAGTCCCCAAAACAGTCCGGCCGTCAACTAAGAAAGAACAGGCGATTTCCTCTTCAGGGCGCCTAGAACTCGTGCAGCTTGAACTGCAATTAACACCGAAGAGACCTAACAAATCCAGACCCAGCAAGTGCTAAGCAGGGTCAATCCGTATCCTATCCGCATTCAGAACAGTTCTCCCAGGCCGTAAACAAACCTTTCAAAGGCCATCACGGATCGAGAAATCGAACTCCCCCAAGCCGACTCAAGAGAGGGCTCTTTTTGAATTTCCGTTCACACACTCAGTTCAGCGAGACGACATTCCTGGTTTCGAAATTCGTCGGCGTGAAACTCTTAAAACTCGTACCACAATACTACATGCATGCAGCTACCAATCTCAGGGCTCTTCCATCAGGTCAGAAGGCCTGCCTTGCACCTCTTGAGTTCTACGAAAAGCCGCCGCATCACCGCTGTCGTCTAATGTCCAGAAGCTAATGGAGTTGTACAAGGCAGATCTGAGCCCAAAGCCCTGGAGGTACCAATACTCTCCTCGAGTTTTCTGAAAGCGTCGCAGCACGTGGCTGGGTCTGACCAAGACTTCATACGCAGTTAGGTTCACCATCATGTTGGCGGTGGTTCTGACCACAAGCATTCCGACGAAGTAAACCCAAACTGCGTCAAACGCAGCCGTAATCAGAACCAGAATTGGTCGCAACGCTGTTCCAAGGGACCCACTTGTCAGGGAGTCCAACAGCTCAGCGAAGGAGCCTCGAGAGATCTCTGGCAACATTGTGTCGCAGGCATAAAGAAAGACTGTGTAGTAGAAGTAAAGGAGGGCGGCAAGAAGCACGGTGATGAAGGAAAAGAAAGATCTTTGATTGCCCAAACCGACACTGTTGTCTATCCAAGGACAATGATGGTCCATTCGATCGACACATCGACCTTGCTCCTTGCAGTGGTGGGAGCGAAACTTGCGCACCGCACGGCAGATGACGCACACCTTCTTGAAGTCGCCTTTATCCACCAAGGTCAGATACTCGCTAGATCCTTGTTCCAGCAAGTGCTCCACTCTTGCACGGCCCAGGTTCTCTACTGCAGCACGTTCACGCTCGTGTAGAGCCACAGTTGCTCGGTCCAACTGGGCCTGCCGGGACCTGCTAACATCGAAACCTGAGGCGATCAAGGGCTGGGATTCGCCCAAGGCTGGGCTTCGAGGATCACCGAGGCCACAGCTTTCTTTGAGTCGCTTCCGTGCTTCTTGGAGAAGGTGCCGCTGAAAGTTGTATTTATTCTGCTCTAGCTCCAGCTTCGTGACCTGCGGGACCTCGCCTTCGCATGTCCAGGTCAGCTGCTGAAGAAGGCTTTCGCAGTGAGCCATCTGCGACTCGATCGGTTGATCAGTGTCAAATGTCCTTGCTGGATCGTCGCCCAGCAGGTGACTCTGTGAGTGTATGGTCCGTGGCTGAAGCCAGCCAGGATCCGAGAAGAGGCGCTGCACCCAAAGCAGCAATGACAACCCCATCAGCATCGACCATATCATCACGGCTTCAGGGTTTCTAGCCGCAATGCCTGGCGCTATGAGAAAAGCAAAAATGATGATGTTGTAGACAACGACACAAACGAAGAGACCTGCGTAGTTTGTCTGAAAAAGGTATGGCCGGCCAAACACAAAGTTGAAGACCTGGCACTTGTGGAAGTCAAGCACCAAGTGCCTCTTCCCTTTATGCATTGCGAGCTCAATCGGGGTTTCGCCAGCGCTATCTGGGACGTCTAAGAGGTGCACAGCCCCGACTTCCATAAGCATTTCCGCGACCAGCGTGTGCCCTTGCAGGGCTGCGTGGTGAAGTGCAGTCATGCCTTCTCGGTCTCGGTGAACAATGCTGGCAGATCGTGAGAGCAACCACTGGACTGTCTTCTTGTTCCCTTTGTGGCAGGCCCATTGCAGGGCAGTTCTGCCGCAGTCATCCTGCTCTTCCAAGCCGACACCTTTCAGGTACAGCCACTCCATCACGGGGCAGTTGTCCGACTGTGCCGACAAAAGGAAGGCAGTGAAGCCATCATGGTCGCGTATCGAGAGAAGAGCGCGGTTGGCCTTCGTCATCGCATCCAAAGCAATGACATTGGAAGAGTTCGCAGCCCAGTGTACTGCACATTCTCCGGAATTGTTGGGAATGTCTGGTCGCGCCCCTCGTTCCAGTAACGGGGTGAGCAGTGAATCTAGCCTGAACCAAACAGCATAGTGGAGAGCCGTGTTGCCGTCAGCGTCCTGATACTCTGCCTTGTGGCCCTGCGACAGCATCTCGACGACTGCCTGAGGGTTCTGTTGGGCGGCAGCCTCTGCAATGGACGCATACCTGGGAGTTTCAGACAATAGTATAAAGGGCCCCCAACTAACGTACCGCAGCCCTAACCCTAAACCCTAAAGAGTCGGATCCTCAGTAAGGTAGCAAGCTTCATAAACTCCCACCTGCCACCAAGGCTGTAGGGCATGGGATTCGGCGCATAGCTTTTCATGCTCAGACAGAGGCAGCCGACAGCTACGAGTCGTGAAGTTTCTGTTAAGGTCTTCTGCTCGGCGACTTGCTCCGGACAAGCTTTTCGAGATGCAAGGCTGCGAGCTTCGATTTCGGAGGTCCGCAGAAGCAACACCATCAATCCCCGAACAAAACCCCTAACCCTTCTGGAACCCTTCTAGACGTGCTAGTAACAAAAACACAACCAAAGTCCAGAGAGACAACATCATAAACCCCCTGACAATTCCTAATTAGCATCGAAGCGAAAGACAGCTGATGACCAAACCCCAAGCCCTATAAGCATAGCAAGCGCTGAATCCGAACCCTACACCCTAAGCATGCCTTAAGTCCGAAATCCGAAAAACCCAGGTACACCCGCCTCCGCAGAGATCTTCCGCAGCTCTTCTGACGTCGTTTCAGGGGCGGGTGGTGGTGCAGGCTGGTCGCGCTGCACATCGCTGCCTAGTGATCTCAGGCTCTGGGCATCAAGACTTTTGCTCTTTAAGGGTTCTTTTAAGGATTCTATAGACAGGTAGGTTGAGCGTTTTCTGAGCGTTTTCACTGCTTTCAAGTTTGGGCTTTAGGGGTTGGGGGGTTGGTCGAAGTTAAGGGCCCAGCCTTTAGGTTTTGGGAGCAAGGTTCAGGGTTGAGATTTGAGGTTTCCGAAAATAGGGGACCCTAATATAGTACCCTAAATAGTAGGATCCTTATTATAAGGACCCCTAATTTTCGGAAAGTCCGAATTTGGGATTCAGGGTTTCGGGTGCCGGACTCCCCAACTAAACGACACGTTCCCTGGCTGGGGGGCCCGAGGGTCGATATCCTTGTTCACAAGGGTTTAGGGCTTGGGGTTTTTAGGGGTCTTAGGGTTTTAGGGCTTAGGATCTAGAGTTTTAGGGTTTAGGGTTTTAGGGTTTAGGGTTTAAGGTTGCAGGGTTTAGGGTTATAGGGTTTAGGGCATGTAAACGTCCGAGCCCTTGACAACGTCTGAATTCTAAGGGCTCAACCTAGCCCATAAACGCTGGTCTGATCCGAGTAGGGATGACGGGCATGGGGCTTGAACGCATGACGAACCCTGGCATGGAGAGAACCCACACCAGTGAGAAAAACATCAAAAAATCATAGTTCTTTCGGTAGGACGCTGAGTTGCTCTTGGCGCTGGAATGCAGGGTTCCAAAAGCTCACTTCAACCCTAAACCCTAAACCCTAAACCCCTAAACCCGATATAAACCCCAACCCTAAAACACTAAAACCCTAAAACCCTAAACTTTAAACCCTTAACCCATAATACCCGAGGATGCTGCACACACCCTACTGCCGTTCGCTGCGTTTAGGGTTTAAAATTTAGGGTTTGGGATTTAGGGCCTGGGGTTTTGGGGTTTAGGGTTTAGGGTTTAGAAACCCGGCATAAGCCGGAAATCCGCCGAAACCCTAGACCCTAAACCCACAAACCTTAAGCCCTGAAGCCATACTTCAACCTTAAACCAGGGACCCATAAACCTGAAAGGATTAAAGCTCGACCACCAGGTTCTGAATCAGAGACCCGACACCGCCAGGCCCAGTCACCTCCATGCCCAAGCCCCCGTACACGCAAACCCCACCGAAACCGTGAGAAGGCGAAGTACCGTTCCGGAGCCCGAACAACATAAACTAAGAATTTTTTGCGGTGGGATCCATGCCATTAACGCATAAGAGCACCCGAAGGAATAGTACTCCTAACTGTGCCGGCCGCTCGACTAAACGCTGGGAAGCAACGCGGGCGGATGGGCATCGACTGGCCCACATGCCGACCAAACACTGTGCCTCAGGCTCTTTCGCTGTGAGAAACTCTCTTCTTCAAAAGCCAGGCTGCAAAAAGCTCAAACTTTTTAGGATAGACCTAATATGTAAGGCCAGAAAGTTTAAAGTTCTCCTATTGGCAAACTAAAAAAGATTCGAAGATGTCTACTTTCGAGGAGAGCCACTTGCAACAAAGAGAGCACGGGGAGGGCGGTCTCGTCAACATGGCTCTTACTATGGCTCTTCGGCTCTCCCGAGTCCACCTTGCTGGGTGTGGAGTTTCAGACAGTAGCGGACCCGAATATCGACCCTAAACCGGTTTGATCTTCAACAAACGGTCGCTAAATTCGTTGCCCTCGTTGTTTTCAACATACCCAGATCCCCTACTTTCATCAGGTCGACCTCCATCTCTGAACCGGTCTGAACTTCAACAAAGACCAAATTACAAAAGCCCGAATTTTTGGGGGACGCAACCCTGCAAGTCTCCCTGCAGCCTCCATAGGAACGCACACACCAGGCTTCACATAGTCTGAGGTGCCAAAGGTAGTGGGTGGTCTACAACCCTAAACCCTAATCCCTAAACCCTGAACCCTAATCCCTAAACCCTACACCCTAAACCCTAAACCCTAATCCCTAAACCCTGAACCCCCAACCCTAAACCCTTTTCCCTAAACCCTACACCCTAAACCCCAAACCTCAGAGCTTGGCAGCCTGGGCACACTCAAGCAGCGAATTGCCCGCTAAGCGGTTGTCCCCGTGCACCCCGCCACTGGCCTGATCCATCAGAGGTAGCCCATCTACAGTGGGACCAGTATTCTTCAGGGTTCCGTAGGGCATTCCTAGCAAAAAACCATGACAAGATTCGACTACTGCTTTAAACTGTTATGGTATGTAGCTGCGTCGACTTGTATTCATTCGGAATGACAAAATACTGCAGATTGGCATCGCACTAAGGCTTTTGTATGGTTCTATGAAACTGGTAGATATCTGATCTGGGGAGGGATTGATGTACAGGCCGAAACAGCTGGGCAGAGCTGCTATGCACCGAACCTAAGCTGTCAGTGCATAACTACACCTTCCTCTGGTAAGCAGTAGATAACATGCCCTTGCTACTACTACTACTACTACTACTACTCCTACTACTACCAGTATGGTACTTTGAGTTACGAGTTACAGTCCCGACAAAAAATAATTGAACAAAAGGGCATTGGGCTTTTGCTCGGAGACTATCAGGGCTCACTGCTGCGGCAAGGGTTTGGCGTGTAGACCCTCGTGAGTATGGGGATCTTCCTCCAGGCCAGCATCCCTTTAGGCCCGCATGAAACCCGCAAATAAACACTCAAATAAACCCTAAACCTTAAACCCTAAACTAGGGTTTAGGGTTTAGGAGCCGTGGCTACCAGCCCCGAAACACCCAAACTCCATAAGCCCGCTAATTCACCCTAAAATCCTGAACCACCCCAACCCTGCACCCTAAACTCCTAAACGTTTAAAAACCCTCAACCCGAAACCCTGCACCCTAAAACACCCTTAATCCGAAACCCTTGCACCCCAAACTCCCATACGTTTAAAACACCCCAAATCCGAAACAATGCATCCCAAACTCCTATACGCTTTAATCCCAAACCCGAAGCCCGGCCTCGCCGATGGCATAGAGCTTGGGGATCGGATCACCCCTCTGGTCCAGCACCTGACCTCGCATGCTGACATTCAAGGCCCCTAGACCCTAAACCCTAAACCCTGAAACGTGCTGGGAGCCTTTGATTTAAGGAAAGACATTTTGAGGTTTCTTGGCTGCTTTTGTTACAGCGGCCCTTGAGGGTTTAGGGGTTTAGGGTCTTAGGGTCTTGGGGTTTGGGGTTTAGGGTCTTGCAGATCATTCTCGTTGCCTTTCGCAGTGCTGCGCTTGGAGAGTTGGGTTTAGGGATCAGAGGGCTCGAGGATGACAGGGATCCGGGTCCAGAAAGGGCTTCGGCTTCAGAGGGATTAGAGCTTGGAGCTAGGGATTAGGGGTTCCTGCAAGCCAGCTCAAGCCAGGATTCAGCGGATGGCCTCAGAAGTCCCCTTCTTCACCTTGAAATGGCTTAGGGTTTAGGGTTTTGGGTTTAGGGGTCTAGGGCTTAGGGTTTAGGGTTTAGGGTTTAGGGTTTAGGGTTTAGGGTTTTGGGTTTTGGGTTTGGGCGCCAAGGTGCCTTCCGGGTTGATCGCGATGCCGCCCATGGTGTAATGAATGACGGGCACGACCTGTCTGGTTTCAAGAATCCACTGTAGGAGGGTTTAGAGGTTTAGGGATTTAGGGGTTTAGGGTTGACGGGCCTTGATACCCCAATGGAAGGGATCCTTATGATTCAGGTGCTCAGCGGATTTTGGGCTGCCAGGCTTCTGTGGCAGCCCGCAGAGAGCGGCTGAGCTTTTTGGAGAGAGTTCAATCTTTTGAGGGGCTGCTGGTTCTGTCGCTGTGGTGCCATCTCAACGGCAAAACCCGATTCCCCCGAGCGCCCTAAAGCAATTCCCAAAGCCCCAGAGGTCCCCAAACTCCAAAAAACGCCTAAACCCCAAACTCCCTGAACCCGAAAACCCGAACCTCGAAATCCCCAAAACCGACGGCGCCTCCCCGACGTAGAAGCTCTCATCCGCCTCGATCGGGAAGTGCCCAGCAGGGAAAACCGTCCGTCCGAACTCGTCCTTCCCTTCCTTCCTGAGTGCTCAACAATAGGGTGCAGGGTTTCGGAGTAGGGGCCTCAATAATCATCCGGGAACCCTGAACCCTAAACCCGTCTTGGGTGGGGTATTGCTAAGATCTTGGGTCTGTCGAGTTGGGGATGGAAGGGTGGAGTCGCGTGGTTTGGCATTTAGGATTCGGCGTTTCGGGCTTGGGGTTGAGATTTGGGGGTGTAGGGTTTAGGGCTTCGGGCGATCACTAAGTCCTCTTATACAATCCTCAATCTTAGAAACAACAACTGAAAACGCTAAAAAGGATGAAATCCGTATCGAATCAACTGTAAGTTATGGCAACCTGCCCTTAACATGAACCCATTCAGTATAATAGGGGCCCTCATGACTAATGATTGGAATAAGGTTTGGGTGTATAGTATAGTATACCTATAACTATATAGGGACGGTTCGGATCTGCAGCAGAAAACTCTTGCTACTATTCCGACCACTAAAAACGAGGGATCACACTTGGCAGACAGCACAGCTTCCGACAAGGTTCACAGAGCCTGTCGATGGGAAGCACAGCAAGGCTGCCGACCGTTTTTTGCCGAGCCGAGCCCTGAACCGCGAAGTCCGAAACCTGCCCATTAATGATTACAAGAGCAGGCCGGCCGGGGTAGAAAGCCCTAAACCCTAAACCCTAAACCCCAAAAGGTGTCGGGGGGGGGGGTGACAAGCTCGCTCCTGTGCCCGTCCTTCTTCTGCCCAGTCACGCTGCCTCGTTGTACGCAGTGAAGGTCGCGTTGACCACGTCCACCTTGCCGGCAAACTCCATCAAGTGAATGCCGAACTCTCTCTGCTATCCCTGAATTAAACCTATCCCGCTCTCTGCAACCCTAAGCCCAAACCATAACTAAACCCCAAACCCGAAACCCCTAAACCCAAAACATAATTAAACCTTGACCGCAAACCCTCTGCAGTTCGGCTTGCGGAAAGGCGAGCCTCACGAGTCTAGGATTTCAGGGGGAGACCGGTCGCCTTTAACGTAAGGTAGGGCTTACAGCTTAAGGTTTTAGGGTTTAGGGTTTAGGGTTCCGGGTTTAGGGTTCAGGGTGGTTTAGGGATTGCAGGGCTTATGGCTTAAGGTATTAGGGTTCAGGGCGTTGGCTTAGCGGGCTCTAGGGTTTAGAAACATGTATATGTTGCATCGTTCTTACACTCCTCTTGGATGTCTCCATCGCAGACTTTCAAGCCAAGAACCCAAAGGGCACGGTCAGGGCTTCTAGCACGAATCCTTTTTGCCCGTTCAAGGCCCCGGCCCTTGCTCTGTAAACCTGAAACTTGAATCCCAAACCCCTGGGACCACCATAAACCCAACAGCTCCATGCCAACAGACCCACACTTTTAGCGCCTCTGGTTCGCGAAACCTTACACAATCCCTTGGGAACTGGGGTTAGGACCCACATCTTCTCCCGGCCGCCTGGTACCCAAACCTCTCCGCGACACCGGCGATGCCATCCACTTTCATCAACAACCTCAGAGAGAGAGAGAGAGAGTGGGTTTCTGAAACCCATAAGAGTTTACGATTTCCGGCTACGACAAACTATCTGTAAGAGCTTCAGAAGCCTTTGGGATATTCCCAGGGTCACTAAGCATAGCGGGACTTTCAAGGAATGCCAATTTTCTTCCCTTAGACTCCTATGGCAAACAAAACCTCTATCCCATGATCACGGTTGGCATGTATTTCCAAAATGTGAAGGAGAGCACCTCATAGAACCGCCATAGAAACCCCTTCGGGTAATGCAAGGGCAAAACAATTACTAGTTATTGTGATTATACTAGAAAGAAACACCCAAAACCCTACTCCAATTATTAAGGCCCGTATATTTAGCCATTATGATTATACTAGAAAGAAACCCAATACCCTACTCTAACCATTAAGGCCCCTATATTTAGCTATTGCGGGTATACTAGAAGAAAGAAGCCCAAAACCCTACTCTAATTATGAAGGCCCCTATATTAACCCCGAACCCCGAACCCTGAACCCTAAACCCTAAACCAGCTGCAGCCAAGCAGCCCCTTCTTCGAATAGAGTGTCGTGTGCCTGTCGGCCATCGCTGCGGCCTTGCCATTCCTCGGGGAATCGACCCCTAAGGGTTTAGGGTTTAGGGTCCTAGTCTCCCTTAGCCACTACAGGGTCCTGAATCATTCGAGTAGGGGTCTTGGGGTATACCGCAGTATAGCTATACTAGCATGGGGACTATCAAGGATAGTAGCTTTCATAATTTGCGCGTGTATCTTCGGCCGTTTCGGCTTCAGTCTTTGGCCAATTTCAGGGCCGGAATGATTAACCAGAGTTTCGCAGGGCCGTTATCTGTACGATTTCGGACGCCTGAGACACAAGCCCTTGCATAGATACCCTAAAGTCCTAAAGCTCTAAACCAAAGTCCTCAAGAAACCCAAAAGACCCGAAGACTGCAAACGCAAAATAGCTCGAGCTGCTAAGAGTCTCTGTATCATGAATTGAGTGGATATCTGAACTAAGGCCAATGTGCACTTTACACCTGTCAGATGTTGTTGTCCGTTTTGTCGCAATATTTCGCACTCTTTGCCATTCTACGACCATCCGTGACAGTTGGACCCTAAACCCTAAACCCGAAACCCCAAACCCTAATACACTTCCCAACTCGGATGGATTCCCGACTGCAAAAAGCCCGGGTCCTACAGGGAGGGGTTTGCCACGGTGTGGCTAAGGTCTGCTACGCCAATCCTAAGCCCTACACCCTAAACCCTTAACCCTTAACCCCTAAACCTAAACCTTGGACACTGATCCGGAGGCCGACTAAACAGAATGACTCAAGTAGAGAAACCTCCGGACACCGAACTAGCAGTCCAACCCGCAGTTTAGGGTTTAGGGTTTAGAGTTTAGGGTAGTTTCAGGCCCTGGATCAACCCGTAAATCCACAAAACACTCCCACAAAGCCAGGGATCTACAGCAATAAACCTTAACCCAGCCGCCCAACCTCCGAAAGCCCTACGCTCCGTTTTCAAAAGACACTTAGGATTCAGGAGGGCTTTCAAACCTCTGAACTTTAGGTCTAGGGTTCAGGGACCCCCAAAAGAAACCCACCATAAAATATAAAAAACAAAATCCTAAAATACTAAACCAGTGAAACAACTCCAGGGCCCCTACAGGACGATTGCGAAGGCCTTCGTCACGAGCCGTCAACGTCATAGAGGGCTTCGGGGGTGAAGAGTTTACGGCATACCGTAAACGACCACGACCTACTTTTTTGTGGGTTTTAGAATGTTTAGGGACCCTACAACAAAGTAGCTTATCGTGCAAGGTCAAGGTAGGATTTAGGGTCAGGAGCTTGGGTCTGTTTCGGGCTAGGGTGTTGTTCTCCGGCCTTTGCGCTTAGGATTCGCGACGGCGCATGAAGCTTTGATGGCTGGGTTCTATGTACAACAACAGCGATGTCCTTTGTCGGAAGCTGAAGTGGGGTCGAAACAATCTCGGTAGTTCTCTAAATTAGTGTCCCTTTTACGGTCCTTTTTGATAAGGGTGCCGTACTATTTTGGGAACCTAAAAAGGGATCCTGTACAGAGAACTACCCATCTATTTATTGATCTTCGTCGCTGCTCTCTTCGTGCAGTGCATGCCCACCCTCCTCTCACTCATTCCATCTTGGCTCCGGGTTGCAGAAGCTGCAAAACTGCCTCCTTCAACCCTCAAATGGCTTGGCTTTGCGGCTTTTCGGCCGAGCCTGGATTGACCCCCAAACCCCCAAAACGCCTGAAGCCTAGACGCCCGAAGCCCTGAGCACAGCTCCGTAGCTAAAGCCTGACACCTCCGCAATCGCTAATCCTCCGTTCTAACCTCTGAAGCCTGCATATGGGCTGTTCTACATCAGGGTCCCCCCTTTTTCAGGTAAGTACCTGCATAGGAGTCCTCCTAGAATCTAGGTCATGGTAGGTCCCAAGAATGGCTCCAGGCTCCGAGCAAAACCCCCCACTGAAGTGTGGGCTTTCGACTAGGGTCCAGAGTCCAGATGATAGGCAAAGAGCTTCGGGGCACAGGGACTTCGGGCTTTTGGCTTGGGATTCGTTGTATAGGATTTAGGATTTAGGGCTTTTCGCATAGGGTAAAAAGGTTGCCGGGCAATCGGGACGAACTAGGCGCATCCATAATCTGCCCTCTGATATCCTGTTTGTATCAACCTTTGACCTCTGCCAAAAAAGCCCTCGAAGTGCTGAAGCCCGAGCTCCAACTCCAAACCCATGCCCCCCGAAGAGCTACACGCTGCAAGATACCACAGCACCCTCTAAAGCCGTGGGCGAACCCTGCAGAAATGTTTGAGCCGCCAAAAGCCCCGAGTTCACTGAGTCCCACACCCTGGGTGGTGAAGGCATCGGCAGTGCCCGCTCCTCCTTTCGGCTCCCAATGTGTTTAGGGCTTAAGGGCTTAGGGTATGGGGTCGAACTCACTACGGCCTGCATACTGGGTGCCGGATTCTGGGCATCGGCAGGTTATCTTTCAACTGCAAAATCCCCAGGACCTTAAAGTCTCACGTTCAAGTAACCCACTTTCAAGTAACCCACTTTCACGTGGAAGAGCCGTACTCACCACCGCTTTCCATAACAAGCCCCCGAACCCCTTAGAGCCCTAAAAAAAGCTCAAAACCCTCATTCTAAACCCGAAACCCTAAACCAGGTCCCTCCTCGGCCGCTTTCAGCTCGGCGTTGACCACGGCCTGCAGGCGAAAGGCTCGAGAAGGAGCGCACGGGTATCTGCGTAGGACGGCCGGTGTCAAGAAGCTTAGGATCTAGGATCTAGGCTTTAGGATCTAGGGTTTAGGCTTTAGGGTTTAGGGTTTAGGGTTTAGGGTTTGGGGTTTGGGGTTTGGGGTTTAGGGTTTAGGGGGATCTAGGGGCCTTCCCAGTGACTCCAAAGCCCCTTAATTGAGGATTATACCTTGAATCTTATTTGGGTTCCCATTATAATTTAAGGTATATTCCTTAGTTAAGGGGTTTTGGAGTCTC